AAAAAATCTTGAAAACATGGTGTCTAAGTAACACTATAACGAGTCTTGGAGTTCTTTGTGACCAGGATACAGTATGTCCTTCTGTATGCATATTAAACACAAAATATCATCCTGTCTCAGAGTGATCCTGAGAAACCAGTTCTAAATCTTTCCGTTAACAGAGAGTTTTTCCTTCCCACTGTTGCAAAGTGCTTGCTTATAGGGGGTTATGCAATTGTTGGGGTTTCTTTCTAATATTGTAGGGTCTTTACCTTACAATACAAAGTACTTTGAGGCAACTGTTGTTGTGAATTGGTGCTATGCAAATAAAATAAAATTGAACAAAGGAGCAGCCTGAACCCTGCTAATCGCGTCTTCTGTTAGATGAATTGCTTATAGAAAAAAAGGTCTAGAAGACGTGGTTTTCTCATTACATCATGTTTATTTATAAGTTTGTGGTGAAGACAATTAGACTGAGACTGCAGTCTAATGGTTGTAGTCACCTGATACAGTATAGCTCATTTAAGCTTCAGGTATATCAATCAGCAGTTATTATAGTTTTTGCTTTCTGTTCAGTTTAATTTCACTCTCTCCAGGAATACATCAGGTGTCTTTGAGGTTCTGTTGAAATGCTGCTGCGTCTGCTATAATTCTGGAATTAGTTTCAGAGTGGGTTTACTCGTTGAATTTTTAATAGTTTTAGATTTGTTGTCATTATCATGTAGGTGAGATTAAAGTGCAGAGCAGTCTGATAATACACGGTCACATAGGCTTAAGTCTAAAAGTAATATTTTTATGTTAAGTATTGGTGTGTTATTTCAGTTAGGTTTTGTTTTTATTTAATTTTACAGCGCTTTCAAACTCATTTTTAGGTTTTATATTAGTTTTAGTTAGTTATAACCTTGAGCCTAAGTTTCTTTTTCTCAGTCTTCACATCATAACTGAAAGTACTTAATTTTTGATGTGAGCGTGGGATGCAGGCAGGAGTGTGCAGAAGGGAGGAAGCATGATATGAAGTCATATTTTCATGACCTTGGTTTTACTTTAATGCTAATCATGGTGTCCATACAGGCCAGTGTAGTGCTCAGTGTTTAGCCTCACTGTAGATCTGTAAGTATAAGTTGTAAAGACTGAAGTCCAGTAGATATTTTTAGATATGCTGCTTCAGTTTACACGTGTAGGATCTATTTTCTATACAAATCTACTGATTAATGAACTCCTAAATGGTCATTTATTGTGTATTGAATCTTTTAGCTACTAGATGTGCTGGAGAGCTACTGCATGGCTGTGGGCCTGGACTTCAGCAGACTGGACGGATCCACCAAATCCAAAGAGCGAGTCCAGATCGTCAGAGACTTTAACAGCTCCTCTCACATCAACCTCTGCCTGGTTTCCACCATGTCAGTTGGAAATACCAACACTTGTAGCTTTTAATTTTATCCTAGGTAGTATTTGGTATTGAAACCTACTAATATGTGTATTTTCTATTAGGGCAGGTGGTCTTGGTCTTAACTTTGTTGGTGCTAATGTTGTGGTGCTGTTTGACCCCACCTGGAACCCAGCCAATGACCTTCAGGCTATTGACAGGTAGGCTGCCAGCTGACTAGATATTATTTCATAGCAGTGTTTTGCTGCAGCTCTTTAGCTAACCTAACAATATTCTGGTAATTCCTAACTGTTGCATACTGCATCCAAAGTCAAGGCAGGGATGTTTGGTGTTATTGCGCCACTTTGTGCTGTTGAAAAGCATCATACTTTGTGTCTTTTTATACACATCCTCAGGGCGTATCGCATTGGCCAGTGCAGGGATGTGACTGTTCTTAGGCTGATCTCACTGGGGACTGTGGAAGAGGTCATATACCTACGACAAATTTACAAACAGGTACCAGACTACTGTAAACTCATAGACATAATGTAATCTGCAATTTAAATACTGTATATACAGATGAAGCTATAGTATATAAATTAGATGCTGCATTTCCACATTCTCTCCCATGTTCCAGCAATTGCACTCCTCTGTAGTTGGCAAAGAGAGCTCCCGGCGGTATTTCGAAGCAGTGCGGGGGCATGGTGACCATAAGGATGAACTGTTTGGGATCAAAAACCTATTTAGGCTGCAAACTCAAGGGACCTGTCTCACCCGCAAGATTTTAGAGGTTAGATAGCCGACAGACCTTTTACTGTTTGACTGTGTGTGCTGCTGCCTGCCTGGACTCACATCATCCCACTGATTTATTTCCACAGTCGCAATTCAGGGTTTCACAAACCAAAATGACTTTTACTGTTTCTTGTCTTGGGCCTTTGGAGGCATATATCACTTGCTTTGATTTTCCACTCAATATCAAGACTTAAACTACACTAGGTAGGTATGACTGTCCTGGTTTCATCATCTCAGAGCACAGAGAAAACTGGGTGTACATATTTCCATCTACATAATAAATGCACTACATCTCTTAATCTTTGAATTCCCGTGTTGTTAAAATAATTGGCTGTAGCTGCGTCCGCAAGGGTGGTTAGCAGGATTCAGAAATCTTAATTTATACATACAACAGTATCACAGTACTCTAGGTTGCTTGTTGTGTTTTTAAAAAGCAGGATATTGCCCAAATAGGATTTCCCTTTACATTTCAAATTAAAGATATGTTTAAACATACAGTTATAAAAATGGTATCCTGCAGAAGACCTAACCTGTCTCTCACAGTGTTATACTAAATATCAAAAGTGAAAGATATTGTTGTGCTGATGGTTGTGACAGAACTGAGTTGATGCCGTTCACTGAAATGTTTGTTTTGATGAATTCCTCTCAGAGAGAAGGGCAAGTGGAGGCTGGTGTTATTATGAGTACACACACAGGCAAAGACACGGAGGAGGAGACAAAGGGAGCTGGCGTGAGTAGTCTTCTCTTCTCAGAAACTCAGAACATCCCTGACTCTGTCATTCTTTCCAAGCAGACCGCTTGTCTTCCCATTCCCACGCGAACCCTGCTGTCCGTCGGTCTACCAGCCACACAGTCTCATTAAGCAGATCTCAGCTGCTGTTCTGAGAGAGTGAAAGTGACCAACTTGTACTGCACACTTCCAATTAATTACTATTAATACTTGCAAACACATCAAGTGCAGTAGACTCTGGAGTACGCTATGGAAGGCCTTTGCTCACAGATAACATTTTATTCTCTGTATATTAGTGAAACTGAAGCATGAGGCTCTTGTTGTGTCACCACCACATATGAACAGCTGGGTGTCATTACTTGTTTGCTCTAATGTAAGGCACATACCACAATGAAGTCTGTCTTCCACTTTTCAGCTATTTATTTATACAGTGGTACCCCTTATCATCCTTTTCCCAGCCAGGCCTGCAGTGTGCACTATGCTGTCCTTTTTACTACTCCACTGAGAACAGTCAGAGCAGTTTTTTCCTTGCAAAAAAATCCAAAAACAAATAACGAAAACCCTGAAACACTATAGTGATTTCAGACATACTCTAAGAACCTGGATACCTGCAAAAATATGAGCTAACCTGGGTCACCTAGTTCATGAAATTGAAATTAGAATCAGTTGGGGGGCAGCCAGAGACTCATTCATGTAACACTGGAACACATTATGACCCTTTTCTTTTATCATTATAGAAGCTTTAAACCACATTAATGGAAGTTAACAAATAGCTCCGTATCACTTGAAAAATTGCCTGATTGGGTCACTCAGTGGTGATACAGGTGGATTTTTGAGCTAAAGCTACAGTTCACTTACAACAAGATGCAACTAATAAGAGAAATGTATTGCCTGCCCTTCTTGTCCTTTCTTTCTCAGTCTGTTTCTACCTTGTGTCTACTGTTTTAGGAAGCTGGAGGTTCTTCACCTACAAAAGTCCATGTACCAAATGATAAACCAGTGAAGGAGATCAGCGATGCATCAAAAGTCTCCACAGGGGTGCTGGACTTCAGCAGTGAAGAGGATGAGAGGGAGCAGGGGTTCAAGAGAAAGGCTTCAAACCTCAGTACAGATGATTGCAATAGGAGCAGGAGTGCCACAACAGGTCCTGGTCGAATGAGTCTCCAACAGCATGGTTTCTCCAAACTCTTTGAAAGAGTCAAAGAAGCACCAGCGCTAGAAGGACAAACGAGTCCAGAAGATGAAGGAAGCTGCTTTGAGGAAGATCCTGAGGAGAAAAAAAGGGAAGACACATCGACCTCCATCACAGGAAATGTCGTTGTCCCTTTGGGAACAGAAACCAGGGACACATCCTGCAATTCAGACAGAAAATTAACAGATAATGGGAGACAAGACGGTGACACGGGTCTGAAACGGCAGATACGTGAAATAATTACTGTGGATGAAGATGGCAATAAAAACTCTAAAGTAGAAAAAAATAAAGTTAATAAACTCAAAACTACATTTCGCCAAAAACACAAGTTTGATGGTTACTCAGATGAATCTGAAGACTTCGACTTGGAGGCAAAGTCGTGGTCCAAAAAGGATACTTTATATTTACATGATGGAGCAGAGAAGGGGGGAGGAAGGACAGACTGCAGTAAAAGAAGGCAAAGTGCAAGTGAAAGGGATAAAAGAAGATCAAAATACACAGAAGATATAGAGACATTCTCATCTTCAGAGGAGGAACATGTAAGTCCACACATGGAAAGATCCAGAGTTAAATTGCAAAAACTTGGGCAAAAACTTGTGACGAGCACAACAGAGAAGGAAGCTGTGATGCCGAAGGCTGTTTCGTTTACAACTTTGAAAAGTCAGACAACCCTGGCATCTAAAGAAAAGAATGGAACTATTGACTGCATGCTAGGTTAGTTCCAGTACTACTTTAAACACTTTTAATAACAAAATTGTACCAATTCTGATGGCCTTTTTTTTTCTTTTAAGGAGGTGTACAGGAGGTGGTGTACACCCACTCTAACCAGCGTGTTGTGGGTGGCAGCAAAGCAGAAGAGCTAATCAGTCGAGCTGCTGTACGGGATGTGTTTGAACGCAAAATGTACTCGCAGCTCCCGGCCAATCACCTTCTAGGAACCCAAGAGGTACAAACACTGGTCTGATCCATTGATTCTTCACATAGTATAATATAGAGCCCTCAGTCAAGCGTCATACCTTTAACCCTGTGTTGATGGCAAGTTAAAGGATCATTTCACCCAGTTTATAAAACACATTTCTGTCACATGGGAGTGGTACTTGTAGATTACTGTTGGGCAGTTTGTGCTGATTTGAAACAGAGTTGATCAGTAAAATTTTAAAAAGAGTAGAACTATGGGGTAAATAAATGCTGTTCATTATGATTTAGCGTAATTACAGGACTTTTAGGACCAGTGACTTAAGACTGTCCATTAATTGCAGCACAGTACTTCATTTTTTACATGCTCTTTCATGCCTGCAAATCTGGTCCACCAGTAATGACAATAAACTATGTTGTTGTTAGGTAACTTGACAGAGAGTGGATCAATATTGCTCTGAAACTTTACTCTTGTTTGATTGTACCAGAGCTTGGCGGCGAGCTTGCCAGACAGTGAGCCGTGTCATTCCACTATGAGGCTGCAAGAGCTCAGTTTGGATCATCCAGTCACCTTTACCACCAAGAGTGTGCATCACACCAAACACAACACCTTCATCTTTGGCGAGACTCCCAAAGCCATACGCAGGTAGTGAATTGTAAAAGAGTTTAACTTATTTTAAGGCAGAAGAATCACATGATGATAAGAGAGGTCGGGGGTAAAAGAGGGAGAGGTGATGAAGGTGTAGGGGAAAAACTGCAACAGAAGAGTAAAAAGATTTCTGATATGGGAGCAAAAAAGTAGGATAATAAGTGAGAGGAAGGTTGAATAGAGGAGTAATGGGGAGGAAAGGAAAAGAAAAAGGAATTTCTAGCAGTGAGGAATGAGGTCAAAACCTACCGGAGATATAGTGTTGATTGCCCCACCTGGGCCTCAGTAATTGTGTATGTGTATTTAGTGAGGGACCACCTCTGAGCTTTTCCTTCCACCTATTTCCCAGCATCGTGCCAAAGATTACCCAGTTATGACCATGCCCAACAGTGCAGGAGTTTTCCCCTTCACAACCGCAGCCCTCCTGGGACTAACCAAAATGATCGCCTTAGGACTTCCAAACCCACTCTGATACGTACACACACATATCCTAACAAGCATTAGCACACGTTCACATGCAGAGCATTCAAATACACTCTGTTCTGTGATGTTCTGCTGCATCACCCCCACCCCTTTCTAAATACTCAAACGCAGACACACAGACACTGTTTGTGGCTCCAGTCTCACTCCCCGAGGGCTGTATCCCTGCCTGGAGGCTCACCAGGAAGCAAATACACACTAGTTATATTGCTATCGCCTCAGTTAACCTTGGTGTTTAATGATTAAAATCCACATGCGCATCAGGTTATACTGCTCCTACTTTTATTGTATTGTTTTGTTTTCTTTTGTTTTTTCAGTAAAAGCCACAAATGCTAGTAACACCACTATAATTCTGCTTTACCACCACGGAGGTATTTCTGTCCCCAATAATTGTTAGAGCAGAGTTTTAGTAGGTGCCTAGGAGCTAATGAAAAATACTACACACTGCACTGCTTTCTGGATATGAGCATGAATATGGGATGTTTATAATTAGTTAGGCCTCACTCAATATGTGGTTAATAGTATAGGCCTTGTGGCTTTTTGAAGAGGTATTATTTGAGATTTTAAGGCATTTTATGGTCACAGATGCCAGATTCTAGCCTTGATCTTACTGTGCATTTGTGAATAGAGGTTAGGAGAAATCATTAGTTGTTAAAATATCCTGTCGTCTTCAGTATCTAACACAATTTTCTATTTTTAGATGGGGTTTTTTGCACTTTCTTCCTTCATTATCGCCCTTTTTTTCTTTTTTTTCTTTTTTTTGCAGGCAACAGCTGGAGGAAATGGCAGAAAAATTCAAATTTCCCACAGTCCACCAGTTTGCTGTTGAAATTCTGAGCAAAGATTCAACCCAGAGACTGGCCTTGCTTCACCAGTATTACACTTCACTGAACCTCCCTGAGTTGGCTGATACGGTCAAAAACAACTTCCCACAACCTGTTTCAGCACAAGCCTCCCCCTTAGCTGCTAACTCAGAGATCAAAAATCCACAAAAGGATGCTTCAAAAGCCACAAAAAATTTGATATTCACTCAAAAGAATTTCAGAACTCAACCTGAAACATCGCAAAAAACTCCTGTGCCACCAAAAAAGGCTAGAAACTCAAAAGGCGATACTCCAAAACCTCGCAAAAAGCAAAGAATATCACAAAGGAATGTGCTGGAACCTCTAAGTGATGTTCCAAGTCCTGAGTCAGAGGAGCAGGACGAGACGCACTGCAGTGCCAGAGGACTCAAGCGGACAAAGGGAGGTAGTGTTTCTACTTCTGGAGCCCACATAGCTGGTGGTGGTCTTGGCGGCGATCGAGTCAGCAGCAGTGGTCTTGGGTCTGGGGAGGCTTCTGCTCGCCTGAACTGCACAGACAGAAATACCCCTTCTTCTTCGGACCTCAGCCATGGCAGTTCCAACATGGTATCCAAACCCACAGCACGAGGAAAAGAGCAAGAGCAGAAGTCATCTTTGAGGATAAGTGAAACTTTGCAGAGGGAGCAGAGAGAAAATTCTCAGCCCCCTTCCATCTCCACTAATCGCTCCTACCTAACAGAGCTGATAGGAGACACCTCGATCCTAGATGACTTGCTAAAACCCAAACCCAAGAGTACTCAACACATCCCAAAAACACCACCCGTAGCACCTGTAAACACCAATCTTACCACGCCTTCACCGTCCGCACTCACTTCCAACTCTGATGCAACCTTACACACCCAAACTACACACCAGGTCGAAACAACAGCACGGGCATCGAAGGGCAGTCGCAAAGACTTCTGGGACATCCTGAACGAGGGTAATGAGGAGAGTATCAATAGATTAACAGATTTAGAAGAAGTGCAGAGAGTTTGCATCACCACCAACTTTGCAGCTAGAACCGTGTCTGCAGAGAAGGACAGCAAGAGTCTCTGGAAAACGAACGACAAGTTCCTGTGGAAAAAATAGCATTTGAATTTGTATTAGTGAACAGTTTTGCAGATTTGTCTGCAAATTTTAGTTCTTTTCTTTTGTTTAAAACGATTGAATCTTTTAAATTGTCTTTTATTTTTACTTTTTAAAAAAGAGAATTCTCTTGTTTGTTACTAAAATAAACTTCAGTGTAATCACTCTTGAAAGTATTTAGTTGAACGTGCATATACTTTTATGAAAATAGTTTCCCTGCTCTTTTTTTTTTCTTCTTTTTTTTTCTACACTGGCTGAGCACTATACTTTGTCGTCACAGTGGTAAGTTGTATATATGTATCATGTGATGACAACAGACAGTTTCCATTACACTGGACTGTTTCCAACAGAGAAACAAAAAGTGGAACTTCAGGGCGAAGCTGACTCAGATCTCATCAAACATGGTTATGGTTTGGACTTAGCATAGGCAGGAGTGTATAGTGTCAGCCCTTTAGGCCAATCACACAGGTATAGTGGCCGATCAGCTGTTCCTAAATACAGCAACTGTGAAAAGACTAAACTTTTCATTTGGTAGGTGGTTGGCATCAGGGACTACACGTTTTCTTTTCCTGCCAACCAGTTGTTGTTAAGGGGTTAACGACTGGCTTCTAGGCCTGTGTGACTGATATCATAATTGTCACCCAATAACTGTTGGTGACTGTGCAGAGATACCACTTAAAACTCCTTAATGGCTGTTAGGTCTGTGTCACTCCACACCCGTTGCTGCCTCACACCTCCCAAGAGAGTGAACATTGCATAGTGTAGATGGTGATGTTTCCCTGCAGTCATCTGCACTGTAATCTGAGCGCTCTGTGGGTCTGCTGAGTTGTGCCCCTCAGAGGGGAGAGCTGCTGTGCTATTAGTGTAATAACAATAAGCAATTCAAGACTTAAGTGGAGCAGCGAGATGAGTGATGGCAGGTAGTATTCATGCCCTTCCATTCACCCATCATCTGAAAATTTTCATTGTAGTTGCATTTGTCAAATTCATCAAACTCTGAGCTTTGTCTTAATATGAAAAAAAAAAAAAGGGTCATCGTGTTTGTTTGGGAGTGCACATTACTGTTCTGTTACACACAGCTGTGTTTGACCTCTTTCAGCTGTTGCGTTGATGTAAATGAAAGCTGCTCTGTTTAAGTGTTGTGTTCTGTATAGCAGAAATGAGAAAGTGCGGAACATCACTGAACGTGCCTCAACAAATCATGCAGGTCGGTAAAGTGTGTGTGTGTGGGTGTGTGTGTGGATGGTAGATCATTGCTATGTTTGCTAAATTAGAAGCCACACATCTGTCACACCTGTTTAATGAATCAAAAGCCTTTTCTCTTCCAAGTCCCCAAAACATTTTTCTCTCTTTGTTTCTGATTCATCCAAAACTGAGATTTGCAGATCCCTATCTTTTTTTTTTATCTTTTTGTGTTTACTGGCAATGGTGAAGCTCACTAACTGGCTGGCAGTGGTTCCAGGCTAATGGATGCCAGCTAGCATGGCTCAGTGGCAATCAAAGCTTTCATGTCCTTAGTACTAACTACATTATTATAACAAAGATCTGCTTCTGCTGCCATGACTTATAACTGACAATGTCTCAAATCAGTTGGATTATTGTATTTTATTACTTGCCATGGGAGGCCGTTTCCCACAGATGGAGCTACAAGAAATCCCACCAAAGAGGCTGACTGTTTTTCCAGTCCTCTCATTAGTTTCTTGTCTTTATGTGTCGAGGGAAGGTTGAGAAGTCTGTTTATATTTCCTGCCACAATAACCTGAGTGTCTGTAAGCCTGTAAAATGCAGCACAGTCAAGTGAAGAGATGGCCCTGAACCTCTAAGTTTATTTTCACAGGTCAGACTGTCACACCTAGTTTGATTTGATTTGTAAAAAACTGTGAATGAGTGTTGTGACCCACTCTGACCTCAGCCTGCAGTCATCTTTGGATCGGGTTTCTATAGGTTCACTCTGCAGTGTGTGAAGAACATCTGCAGGCTGTCACAGATTAAGAAATAGCTCATGTATAAATGCATAAAACAAAGCAACCAAAAGAATCTGTGCTACGAACTGCGTCTGTTATTTTAAAGACACTGTGAAATTAAAAAAATAAAAAAAAACATACACATTGACAAAAAGTAATCCAAAGTGTTCAGCGTATGAATGTGATAAATGTTGATGTGCAGTACTGTACAAAATAGTTCTTCAAGCAATAGTTCTTAAAGCTTTCTGAAGGTCAAAGTTTTTATGTGGACATTGACTGCTTTTACTCATTTTCAGTCCAGTCTTTGGGTTTTTAAGTCGGTATAAGAATCATTCAAGCATAAAAAGGCACCAAACTCAAAGGATGAACCAGTTTTGTATCTACACACATCTTATGGAGTGACTAATACAAATTTGACATTTTTGGTTCAAATTGTCAGTATTCACAGAGGAGCTCAGGAGAGAGGTACAACAGTAAAACGTGACACAGACTCTGTCATGGGGCTGCACTTCAGCCAGTAGTGTTGGTGATCTTGTCAGAACTGATGGAAATCTAATTTTGATCCACCATGTAGTACTATCCAGGAAGCATCTGATGAAACACACTGTCCGTGTGGTAAAAGCATAACTGGATAGAAAAACACAATGCAAAAGGATCAGTCATGGACTGGACTCCCCAGAGCCCAGACCTTAACATCACCGAAGCAGTGTGGCAACAGCTTGGCAGAGAACAGAACAAGCAGAATTGTACAAAGTCTGTTTTTGCCTTATTCACAGGTTTTCTGTTTATGTGTGCACCTGTTTCAATAAACATGACAAAATATCAAATATGGACAACTGTAACAATAAATGCTATAGTAAATTCTCTAAATGCATTAGTTAAGACTGGATTAAATGAATTTATTCCTAGCACTGTTTTCTGACCTCATATTGTGAGAAAGGAAGGTGTGTGTATGTAGGTGCTAGTTCCTGCATTTATTATGCTGTGTCTGCCAAGCCACATACAACATTTGTGGGTGTCTGAATTTCTTACTTAAGTCCCTCCAGCCACTATTTCCTGTACAGAGTAAAAAATTCCTGATCATGCAAAACACTCACATCCTTGGTTTAACTTGCATTTCACTGTGGCCTTAAAAGTTTTGTGCTCAAAAATCTTTTTAATCCGTCTTATTAGGACCGTGTGGGTGTGAATGAATCCCATTTGAGCAGTGAGCAAACACCCTACCCTCTTTTACCAGATCTTTATTTTAATGTTTGCAATGCTACTTAACCTTTCTAACTAACTTTTAATGAGTCAGAAAAGAAAAAAAAATGCAAAAAAAACTTCTCACTATTTCAGTAAAACTCATCTAAACATCACAACTCTACAAACTAACTTGTTGGTTGGCTAACAAAATTACTCATTAGGGCTTTTTAAGAGCTCATAGAGGAAATCATAGTATATAATTTATAATTCTCGTCAAAGTTCATGCAACACTATAGCTTATTTAAAAAATAAGCTGAAAATAAAGGAATTAAGAAATCGTAAAAGAAACTTAGCTGACCATCATAGATGATAATGTGGAAACAGATAAATAGTTTCTAGCCGAGGCCTATTTAAAAAAAAAAAAGCACACATTTAGGTGACTCAGCAGGCAACGACTGTTTTGGAGGGATACAGAGTCCTCCTGTTACGGTAACAGGCAGAGGAGGTCTCGAAATGTGAAAAAGAACTCCCCCTTCATTACAAAATTACACACCATTTGCCCCTCATTCCTATCCAGTTGTCTGGGTAACTGCTAGCTGTAATTTGGGTTAATTCACTAGCTCCCGAGTCCTTCCTTTCCCCATTGTGCCCCATCATAAAAGAGATATAACACAGATGCACACACACAGACACACACAGATACACATGCACACACTTGTACAAACTAAGTTTCTAATGCAGTGACTCACACAGTAAGGGAGACTAATCCTCATTTTGTTTGCTTCTCCTCATCACGGCTGGAAATAGGCCGTGTGTGGGAATATCAGTGTAGGAGATTCAGTGCAAATCTAAGCTTTAAGCTTTAATCTTTTCATTCCTAGCACCTTTATCGAGCTGTTGCAATAATTTAGTTATGAAATTCTTTAGCTGGGGTTCTACTGTTGTCAAAAATTGTATAATATTTTTAAAGATTTGCACAAAAAGGACACTTATCCTTTCTGACCCTGCCCTGTGTTGAAGGTGGGAGAGATGGAAATGGGAGGGCTACTCTTTTTGCTGCTTTCAGAACAAAAGGAATGGAAAATTGTGTGTTTTCCCATGGGGTAAATATTGAGAGAGTAGAGATATAAACGCACGGAAGAAAGGCTTTTCTAAGCAGCCCGGGTCTCTGTTGCACTGCCAAAGGCCTGTGCGTCACTTGATCCATTGTTTAGTGTAGAGAGGTCTCGGTGAGCAAGCGGCTGCCTCCCCGCTCCAGCTGCAGACTCTCTACTGTTTATGTTTGCAGGGCCCTTCGCCTTGAAGTGAGGCTATACAAGCAAAGCCTAGCCATATGTGAGCACTGGGCCCTCAGAGAAGTTACTTGCCCTTTATTTTTCAAACCATCCATCTCTCTAAAACTCTCTCTGTCTCGTTTGTCCCTCTTCTTTCAGCTTGTTTGCTTTCCCTCGCTGACAGTCCAGCTCTTCCCTGACAGCCTGCTCTTTTGAAGAAGATGAAGGATTGGAATTATCTTCTTGAGTTTCAAAGAGCCCAGTCCTGGATGGCAGGAAAGCTGTAGGTATTATAACTGCTGGGAGAAATAATTAGCCCCCCTGGAACTGCTCAGTGGGAATTAAATGTTCATGGGCTCAGCAAGAAAATCTGAAAAACAAGATTGGTAATTATGTCATAGAAATATTTCAGCTTCTATGAATATTTGCCCATCGATACAGATGAGCATCACTCCAAAAAAGGCAACATGGAGTTAAAGGTATAGTATATACATCTGTGCTGTTTGGCCAGTCAAGTATATAAGTGCATGGACTTTTTCAAAACGACTTTATCCGGGTTAATTGCTACCTTTGTTTTACTTTGCAAGCACAAAGGTGGATAAAGTTCTAGTTTCAAACTAAACACTTGAGTCAACCTGGAATTTTTTTGTGTGTGAGCTTGGTTTAGTGTGTAAGTTTACGCATGTGTCTGAAGGTTAGTAGTGCTGACCTTGGCTTCTGGGTGGGCTGCAGTGGCAATGTGCTTGTCTTGGATCATCTTTGGACCCTTCTGTTTACTGAAACAACACGCAAGCAGTGTCCAGGGAGGAGAAAGGAGTCACACAAGGAGCATCCTCAAAGGCTCTCCTTTTCTTACCCATGCTTCAACACACACGCACACACACACTCACACACACAAACATAAATGTACACACAAGAAGGTGTCTTCAAGAGCCCTGACCACCCATGTCACCCATGGTCATCTTCTGAGATAAAACCTTTTTCTTGACCCCTTCCTTAATGAATTCATCATCTACTGGAGGCTTTAGACACTCTGGGTTTAATATGTGTACCAAAATCTGAGCTATCTGATGGTTAAAGCCCTCATTCTGCTTGTGTAGAAAGCTCTCCCACACACTGTCTGGAAAATAAGTGAAATATTAGCTTTGAGAACCGCACTTGACGTTAGAGAGGCTTTGTAAGGGAAACTATAAATTAAAAGGTGTCATAATTGTGCTGCCACCCATACCCATAAATCGCAGATCACCCCAGGTGAGGAAAGTCCCTGCTGTTGAACAACCCGGGTAAACATCCTTTGATTTCAGCTGCAGGTAACACACACGTTGCTCAGACTGCAGCTTTGAAAGTAGATGCATTTACACAGATATTTCAATTTAGCACGCATGATGGGAAACCCCCGGTGGCGGGGAACAGTGTCGTGATAAAAATGGTAATTTGACTACGTTTGATCGCCGGATTTCTGCTGCAGCGCTATAGCTCTGGAATCCCAAGGCACGATGAAACCTTTACATTTCGTGCCCTCTAGTGGCCATGACGAATCTTTACACGATCACAACATCCACCCATCCGTATTCTTAACAGCTCAAGTTCAGGGTATAACGGGGCCTGATGAATGATTAATAATAAATCGCTCCAATGATTTATTACAGCTCGTAGTATTTATGATAAACACTACATAAATAAAATTCAGTTGACCTTAGAGAACTCTGAGAAGACATGAAATCACTCAGTTAAAACACATCTTTATTTTTCATGAAGTATGATTTATTAGTTACTCTTTTGTCACCCTGTTTGTGTTGGTATGATAAATACTCCTTCTTTCTTTTTTCTTTCTTTTCATACATGTAAACAAATATACATAAACCAAAGAAAAAAACATTAAAAGAATTTAAACAACGCTGCTAATTTACATCTGCAGTCCAGGCCAGGTTAGATTGAAGCTTTACCATGAACAATGATGTGCAACAAAAACAAACAGCTCAGGTAGGAATACGTTAAAAGTGTCCACACACACAAGACTTCGTGGACGTGAGTTTGGCTCCTACACTACTTGTAGTTGCTGTGTATGTACACAGTGGAAATTCAGGATTTTCTGTCTTAATATATTACAAAACCAAAGTCATATGTATCAATTACAGATAAACTGATCAGCTCACAGATTTTTTTTTTTATCAATGTGAAAGTACATTCTGAGATTTTCTCTTACCATGCATATCCATACCAAGACAAGTGAACACAGTTTTGATTTGTGAACAGGTCATTCTTTTCTTTTCTTTTTTTTTAAACATTCAGACTAGGAATAGACTATCTAAGCTCAGGGTCACTCTGACCTTCCTCCCCCTTCTCACTCCTTCTTTTTTCTTATTCCCGACACTATCTCTCATGGGGAGGATCATTCATCACGGTTGTCTAAACACCCCTGTCCCCGTGTGATTAGTGACCCTTTTAGGTCAGACATCACTGAAGCACATGCTAATTAAAACAGCTGTGCGTGTCAGCATATATACATACACAGATGAGGGAAGGTTTTGTATTCTTTAAACACTGCATATCATGCTGTCTGCAGCACACTGTCAAACTAATTTCTGAGGATGCAGGTAGAAGCTCTGTCCCGAACTCCTGCTGTGGATTAGAAAAGAGTCTGATCCTGAGATGATCGTGTCTTCCCATCACGCGAGCAAATGTTTTCTTGATCTCAGAGGAGAATAGAGGATGCTAATGACAGTTAAAAGTGTGTGTGTGTTGTGTGTGTGCGTGCGTGCGTACGGATGTGTAGGAGTAAATTAATGGTACAAGACAGGTCCTTCCGTTTAGCAGATAAGGTGTCATTATTATTATTATTACTCATATCTCTACAAGATATGTAGACACACACACACACACACACACATTTATCACTGCTATCAGTGCTTCGTCACGTATGAGAAAGTTATGTAAATTTTAACCTTGAATTGCATCAGAATTATTAACTGTGTAGAGTAAACTTGAAAAGCATCATTTGTTCAGTAACAATGGTGATATTTCATTTATTTGAGTGAACAAACAACATGCATCAGTCACTATAAGATGAAGATGTGGAGTTCAGACAGTACTACTGCATTCTTATTAATACAGTTAGTTCCATAAGTATTTGGACAGTGAGACAATTTTGCCTCTATACACCATGACAGTGGATTTTAAATCAAATAATTAAAATTAAGATGTGATGGAAGTGCAGACTTTCACCTTTAATTCAGGGGCTGTTTGACAAAGGCAATGCATTACCTGTGTAGATGTTATAACTTTTTTTTTTTTAGTACACAACCAGTTTTGTCAGTCAACTGTAAAAATTAATTGGGCAGGCGAGGCCTGTTCCAGTGTTATTCTGAAGCTGATTCTAAGTGTTGAATGTGGATTTAGTAACTTCACTGGAATTTCAAAGATGTCAGTACAAGTAAGGGAGGCCATAGACTGAAAAAACAAACAAACAAAATCATTCAAAAAACTTCAGGAGTGACCAAACACTGACCAGCTCAGGAACACCAAAATGCCTGAAAGACCACACAAAGATTACAAAAGTAGGCGATGGCAGAATCATTTTGATGGTTAAACAAAAAAAAGGAAGAAAGAAACCTTTTCAACATCAACCCAGGTTGAGAACACTCTCAAGGTGGTAGGTGCGTCTAAGTCTACAATCAAGAGATGCCTTTTATAGCAAGATGCAAATCGCTGTTTACAGTCAAGAACAAGAAAACCTGATTAGACTTTCCCAGAAAGCATCTAAACGAACCATCATAGCTCCACAAAAAAAAAATGAATAAATCAGTCTTCGGACAGATGAAACCAAGATTAACCCATTGATGGAAAAAGAAAAGCATGGGGAGAAGAACTTATGATCTGAAGCACACCAGCATGCCTGTCACACATGGAGGCAATGTTACAGCCTGGGCATGTTGGACTGTCTTTTGAACTGACTTACAACTGTGTATTGATGATGTAACAGTTCTCAGATTCGACCAAGTGCTGCAAAAAACAGACTGCACGGTGTTTCACGGTGTAAAAGGACCCAAAGCATACTGCTAAAGCAGAGTTTCTTAAGCCAGAGAAATGGGATATTCTTAAATAAACAAATCAGTACCTGATCTTAAGCCAACAGAGCATGCTTTTAAATTGCTTTTTAATTCGTTTAGATGATAGGGCGATCATGGCTCAAAAGTTGGGAGTTCATCTTGTAATCGGACAGTCTCGGTCGTTGAGTCCTTGGGCAAGACACTTCACCTACCGCCTACTGGATTTAGCCAGAGGGGCCGATGGTGCGATATGGCAGCCTCGCTTCTGTCAGTCTGCCCCAGGGCAGCTGTGGCTGCAATTGTAGCTTGCCTCTACCAGTGTGTGAATGTGAGAGTGAATGAATAGTGGAATTGTAAAGTGCTTTGAGGAAAAGCGCTATATAACTGCAATCCATTATTATTATTATTATTAATTCCTAAACAGTTTGTTAAACCCCTTGAATTAAAGCCAAAAGTCTACGCTTCAATCCCATCTTCACTCACTGATTTAAAACCCACTGTGGTGTTGTACAGAGGCAAAATTACTAAAACGCTGTCACCGCATACAATATACACAATATGCACACAATAAACACAGTAAATAATGATACTTTTACAAATTACATCCATTAGTTACATGATAATGCTGCATAAAAATACACAATACATTTCTTTATGGCTAGAAATATTTCATACAAACTTCTTCATGTTTATTTCTGGCGTTGATTTTGATTTAGACCTTTCCAGCCTGCATTAGTTTTCGCTTGACATAGTCTTGTGAGCCTTGCATCATAGGTTCTGCATAGAGAATCTTAAGTGGAATAGTCTGCAGCAACCAGCCCTGTACACACATGCACACACACATACAAACAATACTGCAGGTCAGTCTCTTGGTGGCAGTTTTTGGCATTATGTTTGTGACTCTAAGTCTTACCAGAACTGTATGACAGATGCTTCCATTTGTTTTGTCTCCAGCACTGACGTACTGCAGTGAATATTTTACAAAGTCTTCTGGTGAAAAAGTTATCATGTTAGTTTTTTGGAACCCAGCCAATCGAGTGGATACCCCAAATGGAGCCACTGACTGAAAACAGTGCATGACAGGGAAATATTTAGGACAAGAGGACAAGAAATAAAAGACTTTAAAGTTAATTTAAAGAAAATAATTGCTTTCGTTTCATAAAACTTGAGATGATGTCTGAGTGAGGATTAAAATACCTGGATAATAATCCCCTTATCTTTGTATTCAGCTTGTAAACCTTGAGAAAATCTTTCCACAAACACCTATAAGAACGCAAATTAAAATGTGAAGGATCATACGTCGCCTGGGCAGAGAGACTTAAAAGTGTGCCGCTGATGTGAAACTTGCCTTTGATGCAGCATACAGGGTGTACAGGGGAAATGGGATAGAAGCAATTCCAGAAGAAACATTCAATATCATCCCTTTCCCTCTATAAATACAATAAACATACAAACAGATATAAATAATTAAACAACACTTATGAGCACAACCTCAGTATTAATTAGCATGTTATGATCCATCACTTTACACATTACATCTAATGAAGAAAACATGGGTAGGAAACCTGTTCGCCATGCCTGGGAGAATAATTTTGCACATCTGGAAACAAAAGAAAATAAGTTCAGACTTGAGTCATATGAAGCAATGAAAAGCATTAACGTGTTTTAGAACAATACAAATAATCCTTAAAAAACAGGGGTGTCAAACAAAATGCCCAGGGACCAGAACTGGGCCGGCAAAGACTCCAATCCGACCACTGGACAGCTTTAGAAAATGTAAAGGATGGCATAAAATGTGGAGTTTTAACTCTATACAAAAGTATGTAAATAACAGAAAAGTCACCATTTGTTCACTATTAACTATAAAAAATGTAAAATAAAAAAGATAATAAAAAAAATAACATTTTTTGCAAATTAACAAAAACTTTGTGCTTTATAATTACAGGACAGTCTGGGTGAAGTTACCAAAACTTTGTAATTTAATTTATTACTTTATGTCGTTTTTATGTCGAAAACTGAGACATACTGCTGAAATCATACTTCCATATCTCAGGAATCTGTTTTAAACTTCTTTACAATGACAGAAAGGGGAAGTTCATTGATCTGGCCCACTTAATTTCATAGTGGGCTGTATGTGGCACTCAGGGTAAAACGACTTTGACAACCCTGCTCTACCAAATCCTTTACGTGCGCTTCCTTTACTGGCAAACCCTCTCAGATTATACTGATGATTATATACTGTCTTCATCAATAAACAATCAATATGAACTTAAATTCATTGTTTTGTAGTAACAATAAAACTATGATCTTACCTTGGCCATCGTCTTCACATTGCAGTTTATCACTTTGGTAATTGTCTGAAAACATAGATGAACATGGGTCTCAGATAATCTCTTTATTTATATCTAAAGAAATGTATTTGCAGCTAAAATGCTCTTCTAAAAACATGTTATTATAAACTGAACCCTCTGAGGTTCAACATCAGGATGCTATCTGCTGTGAAGCTTACTACCAATAAAAGTAATAATTATGCAAATGGGGTCAATCCAAACAACCTATAGTTAGTCATAATGTTGTAGTGGTATTTTTTTGTTTTGTTTTTACTTATTGTTCATCTGTGGAGTCGTGCACAAGGTCCTGGATCTGTTTATTATACATTTGCACACATATGCAGGTGATACTGTTATATCTGCCAAAGCCATAAGGAGAGTCATACAGAAATCACAGCTAGCAGGTGAGCATGGATGATTTTTTTAGAGCCTAATCATCAATGGGTTTTAATAAGGAACAACAAATATAAACATAATGTGCTTGTACATATACACAAAAAACTAAGCACCTTTAAGTATAAGCTGCTGAGTTACTACTGACCTTGTCCAGCTCATCATACTCAAGGAATCTGCAGGGAATGAAGCAAGGCAGCATTCCTACATTGTTGACTGGGGTAGAAAAAAGCGGGGAAAATAACTGATATCATTTTCTTAAATAATTAGGGTTTTTTCCCCATTTTTTTTGTCTCTAGACACACTTCACTTTCAAACTTTACAAACCCAATTCCACAAAGTGCCTGTGTTGATTTGCAAATTTTATAAATTTGTGTTTCATTTACAGTTGAACATAATATAATATTAACTATTAATATTAATTATTAGCTCACTGTGAATGACATGTCTCAAAAATGTTGGAATGGTGGCAGCAAAAGGCTGGAAAAGTAAATGATACTAAAAAGAAACAGCTGGAGGAATGTTTTGCGGCTAATTAGATTGATCGGTAACAGGTTGGTTGTCTTTTTTGGGGGAAATCTTTGCATGTTCCAGCAAAAATATTGATCAACTCGATTCTGCATCAACTACAACTGCATTGTCTGGGTGCTGAACAGGCCTGCCGATCTTCCATAACTTTCACCAAAAAATATGACAAAGGAGACCCAGGGCTGTTGAACAGCTAGAATCCTATATCGGATAAAACATGGAACAACATTCATCTCCCAAAATTCCACAATCTGTAAATCCAGCAGATTTACAAATTGTTCTTAAAAGAAGAGGGGCTGCTACACTGCAGTAAACATGGGTCTGTCCCAGCTTAGTGCTTAAAAGCTAATGTTTTTCATAAAATGGTGTTTTAAAAATGAAGATGTTTTGTTGTAAATAAAATATGGGCTCATGAGATTTGCAAATCATTGGATTGTATTTCTATTTACGCAGCATGCCATCTTTTTTTGGAACTGGATTTTGTATGGAGGCACAAATAAAAGCTCACCTAAAACTCCTATGTTGAGGTCCTTCAGTTGCTCTTCAATTTCACTAAAGATATTTTCTTTGGTAAAATCTGTTACTATCACTTTCACCCTCTGCCCCGTGGCTTCTCCTGTGAACAATGAAAAGACAAATATTGTGCGCCGTTTGCCTGGATCAACAGCATATTAGCAGATATCATACATTTTAGGAAGCAAAGAAAATAAAACATGCACATAGATACCTATCTCTTTAGCCACTTGATCCAGTTTTGCTTTGGTTCTGCTCATGACTACAATGTTCATTCCCCGCTGAGCTAGCTGAGATGCAATAGCGACAGTGGAAAAGTACATATGAAAACACAGTTACACAGCAAAAAGTAGCAAGTGTGCCTCAAAGGAACAGTAGTTTAACTATGGTGTGCTCATTTCAAATTATTATAAATATAAGTATTTGCTAAAATATAAAAAGATATTATGTACAGTATGTGTATTAGTTTTGTTTTATGAGAACACAAGCAGAGTCACTTACTGCAAATGCAAATGCTCTTCCTATTCCTTCTGAAGAACCAGTCACCACTGAAAGGAGGATGGAGAGACTGGAAATTACAAACAAATCCCTCATCAAATCTCCTGCAGTTTCCATTCTGACCACTAGAGGCACTGTACTGCACAGAACAGTACAGTAATGCACTGCCTTACCCATCTTCCTCTGCTTTCAGCCAAATCCCAGGATTGTTTTATTATTTGTTTACATTAGTTTAATCCTCACTCCATTCTGTTCGTACAAACTGTGCTAAAACAGCATGTTCCCCTGGTGTGATAAAGAACTGATGGGAACTGCTTGTTTCTGAGTAATCACTGCTTTCCCATTTCCTCCTGACCCTTATTACAAAGATCACAGGCTGTTTTCATCACCGTTTTCAGGCCTAAATGAGCATTCATATCTAATTAGGTTTTACAGCACTGAGAAAATTGTGTAAAGCCATTAAAACATTAAAAATATCCCATGGTTTGATGTGTTGTTAGCACAGGGGGGAAATGAGTAATGTGACACTGCCTATTAACTACTGAAACAGAAACTGAAATTAAGCCTCCGTTTTAATTTGTTCAGCTGAACAAATAAATTGAATTCACACTTTATTTCTGCTCTTTTACTACTTAATTAGGAAAGTATCAAATGACAAAGAAACCTCACATTGAGCCTCGGTTTTATGAAATGCAAACCGCCACAAGTTTTGTCATTTATATTTCTTCTTTAGTGAAAACCACAGTATACGCAAACAGGCAGCAGTATGTTCAAATATGGCTTTCTCATGTAGATATACACACTCAACTATATATATATAAAAAAAGCAACCTAATTATATCAACTTAAGAACTACATTCAAGACAATGAAACAGTGAAAATAACCAAACTGAGCATGTGTGGTGAGGTTATGTGATGAGAAGTGGACGTTTTGATTTTAATATATGGTGCTCATGTTAAACATGATCAAAGTTTTAAATAATGTAGTCAACATAAGTAAAAGTTACCGCAGTGAACCAAAAGCTCAAGTTTCAGACTGCTCTAAATGCTCTAAGCCAGGAGTGTCAAACACAAGGCTTGGGGACCAGAATTGGCCCAGCAAAAACTGCAATCTGGCCCACTGGATAGCATTGGAAATTTTAGTTTTTTCAAATAAGTTTTATAATGTTTCCTGTTGATAAAGACGTCCCCCATGTCTATTCATCCTGCACCAAATAATTAAGTATTAAATAAACAATTAGATGACAGAAAAACTCCACTTTTTTTTTTACTATCATCTATAATACAAATTTCTGTTGTTAAACTTCCTTCGACTGACAGAAATGGGAGTTTCTTTGTACCAGCCCACTTATGGTAAGTTCAAAGTGAGTTGTGTGTGATTCTCAATGTTTGCATGGAGCAATCAGTACAAAACAAACAAAAAACTCGAAAAGAGTGTGGTCTTAAAGGGAGAGGCACTAAAACTGTGATCATCTGCACTATGCCCCATGAGAAGATAAATAAGGATTATTACTCTAACATTAGTAAACACATCCACTTTATAAAAGAACATCAACTAAGCACACACAAGCACAAAATCCATTTAGTGATTATCTGGAAAGAAAACTATAAATGCTCAGGCAAATGGTCCTAACAGGTATTCAGTCAGTTTTCTGCTTGAAAACTGACTGAATACCGTTTTCAGTCAGAAAACTTTTTGGGATTTCCTTACCTGGATGCATCAAGACATTACAAGATGCAATAAATAATTTCAGCATATTTTTACGCAGGACCTCCGCAAAACTATACTGCACTGATGCTTCTTAAAATTAAAAGAGAAACATAGAAAGCCATCTCAGATGGATGGATGGATTAGGGAAGGTTTTTTTCAGCTCATTCACAAGGGGTCGCCATAGCAAGTAGGTCCCCATGCTTGATTTGGCAGAGTATCTACACCAGATATTTTTACTGATGCAATAGCAAAGGACTTGCCAGACAGTTGCTGCAAGTAAGCTGCACTGTAGGGGAATTGTTCCACTGAGGTTATAGTATTTGTAATATTTGTGCAAAGTTGTCATTTACGTTCATAAGCTGACTTACTACACTTGTCTGATTCTTGTTAATCCACATGAATTTTAAGATTTTGGGGCAAACTAGCAGAGCAGATCACTTGTTTTCTTGATTTGTTGATGTATGTCTATATCTGTACTATCAACATGAACTGAACGGGTTCAGTTGATTCTGAGAAATTCTTTGTAGTATTTCATCCATAAAAACAATTTTCGCTTGGGGAAATACTTTGTTTTTCAGACCATAAAAACAGTCGCACATTTAGAATGAGCATGTTTCTTCTAAATGAGCCAACTTGGAGCTGGACTTTTATTGGTCTTCCTGTGCAGAAATGTTCAGCTAAAAGGATGTCCTTTTGCACGCCCATAACACAATGAGAGGATTAAACACCTCTGTTGACACTGCAGCACTGGAAGGGCTGGAAGTCATGAGGAAAGAATAACATCTCAGCTACCCTTTGCTGGTCATAATATTTCAAGAGAAAGCTTCTAAATGACATGTACTGCAACAAAAATGACAGACAGCTACACTAGAGCTTCACCCCTGGTCCTTTAGTGTATTACTTCAATAGATTATTAAAGATGCCTAACCCAAGAACAATTTATTGTCCCTTCACAATTTAATTATAGTCCACCTTTTTGCAGATTGCAGCATCTGTGATTCATGATTTCCACTGTTACTCAAACCTGAGCCATTCACAGGAAAATCACTCTTCTGTGTCATTTCCTTCAAATAACTTAAACAAAACAATATTGTGGCAAGCTCAGACAAGTAGGAGACAAAGACTTCTGTATTCAACTTGCTATCCGGTCGTTAAGTCTGACGTCACTAGCCGTGTCTGGGCCTAAACTCTGCTGCAGGTCCATATATCAAACGATCACTATGGCATTACTGAGAGTTGAAAAACTGTCAAAAGTCTTTCATCTTTAATAAAATGATCAGCGTTCTGCTCTACCAGGTGTAACAATTGAGTTTAACATCCAGGCAGCCATGAAAACGGAATTTATGACATTTAACGAAATTAGAAGTTAGCAGGAAGTTAGCGCGCTAGCTTCTATCTAAATACAATATAGCATGTCCTGACTGCGGGGTTTTGGAAACAAATTCAAACGTACAGCTCTGTTATCACTTCCAACATAAATGAAGACAGAAAACTAAACAGCAGTGACATTTGTAGGGTTACTGAAGTTGGGCTAGCTGGTTTATAATGATGTGCTACGTGACCGCTAGCGACACAGCTATGTTAGCATAATATAAACAAGCTAACTTTTTTTCCACTCGATAAAAGTTAACGTGTGTTCTCGGTGGTCAGGAACAAATGTAATCGCATGGCAGGATGCTGTAAAACAGGGGTGTCGAACTCCAGGCC